CTTAGCATCATGGGGGGGAACATCATCTAGGACCATACCTCCCATGGACACAGGGGAAGTCCAGAAAATGGACTTCTTCAAGGCCACAGGTGCCCTGACTTTCCATTCAAGAATCCCCAAAAACAACCCCCCCCCCCCACACACACACACAATTTATATGTAACATAAACGGAGGCTTCTTGTCTTGTTTCTGATTTAACCTAAGGATTGCCATACTCTCAGGAGTAAAAATTTTTATGACTTTAGGTAACAACTCCTAACTTACTTAGTAACACGTGTTTGAACTGTGCTTTGTCTCTGTGAGCCTGAGGGAGAGCAAGATGATACCAGGCAAACTGAGACACAGAAGGGTACAAAACACATGTAACAGCAGCAGAGCTTCAATACTTTTTTTCTTTTCATGCTTGAGTCTTTACCAAAAAGCAAAAAGTTAACAGGAACATCGCTTTAGAGGGGAAGACAAAAGGTGTTTCAGATCAAACAAGTAAACTGTTATGTAATAATCTATGGCTAGGAGCTGCAGGGCAGGACAAGGTCTGAGCAAGTGAGACGTAGCAAAAATAACTAGCAAGGGCTACCTCAGAATTCCAAATCACACCACATCCAAAAATGCGATTTTTACAAAACAAAAAACCCTCATATTTTATTCCACAAAAGAATATCCTGCTTGCTGATGAATACGAGAACATTTAACAGAAACCCTGTGCTTATCACTCGTGGTTTAAACGGAAATTCCTTCTCCATAAACCACCAGTTTGGGGAAACCGAGACAACTTCATACACGAGCACAGAATTAGCACTTAACAGACAGTGAGGGCTTCAGAACGCGCGCGAAACTTCCCGCTCTCGCGAGACTTCCCCAAGACAAAGCCAGGTCCCAGCAACCACCGCGGCCCGGACTACAGGTCCCAGCATGCAAGGCGCACACCGCCACCCAGCAGGACTGCATTTCCCGATATGCTCTCTTGACAACTGGTCGTCCCCTCAGCTTCAGGGATGGCTTTCGGTCCTCTTAGTCTCTCGTTAAGGGTCTAGGGGTCGGGCAGCGTTACTCACGAGTAAACTACGAAGATGATGATTTTTCGAGCCCTTCGTCGCTCCTTGGATTAAGAGCAAAGAGCCTAGGGCAAGGACGGTGGGGGAGGCGCGGGCGGGTGGCCTGGCTGGCTGAGCCAATAGCGCGGGAGCGGCTCACCTGCGCCATGACAACGGCGGTGATCCCCGCAGGGACCAGGGCCCCATTGGGTGGAATCTTTCGAGAAGGCTGGAGAAGGAGGAAGCGGAAGTGGCACGTGGAGGGGCCGGTGGAGGCGCCGCTGAGTAAATGCCGCAGATTCTGGAAAGTTCTGATCAGTGCAATACATAAGGCAGAGGAGTTGAGACCTCGCCTATTGAGTCGGTAGTTGGGCGCTCAGCGGGGAGCGAGCGGTTGCGGATCCAGGCATTCACCGGAGCAGCCCGCGGATACTCGGCGCCGCCTGCCTCCGGGTGAGCCCTCTGCGAACGCCGCTGTCCCCGGGAAGCCGGGGCGCCCGATTGACAGAGGAGCGGTCGGACCCAGCGGAGTCCCGCTTGGCGGCCGGAGGACGCGGACGTAGACCCGGGGCGGAGGCGCACCGCGAGCCAGTCATGTCGGTGGTGGGGCTGGACGTGGGCTCCCAGAGCTGCTACATCGCGGTGGCCCGGGCCGGGGGCATTGAGACCATCGCCAATGAATTCAGCGACCGGTGCACCCCGTAAGTGGAGCCTGCATGGTGCTGGGGGAGGGCCTGGGCAAAGGAAATAGCCCGGAGCTGGCTGCAGAGCGAGGGACTCCTGGCTGGCGGGCTGGCCAGAGCCAGGAGGATGGAGGGCGGCGTAGGGGACAACTGCTGCTAAGGGGGTCCGGGGGCCCGACCGGCTGGATGCCTGCCCACCAGCTGGATAGAGGGTGACTCCGGGGGCCACGCGAGTTGAGTCGCCTTGGGTCGTCCCTGGGCGCCGGGCTGCGGCCGAGCCCGCGACTTGCCTCTTCCGCGAGCTGCATGCAGCTAGCGCTTTCCGCGCCCGCCCCCGGCCACCAGCCGGCTGCTCCGAGCCGCCCCCAGTCGGTCCCCTCCTTCCGAGAGCTCTGCTGCCGAGCTTTTTCTTCCGCATTGTGAATCTCGAAATTAACTGGAACCTTCCAGAGCCTGTCAGCCGCTGCTGGTCCAGAGAGCCGGGGGTCTCTTGTTAGCAACCGCAGAGTCACTCCTTCAGTAGATGAATCTACCTTTTCCTACCCGCCCTCCTGGTTACTAACGTCACTCTCCTCAGTGCCTGGGATTATTCTGGAAGATGGAAACGTCGTTTTTGCTCATTTTATGAAAGAGGAATCCTAAATCTTGTTCTAATTTCTTTATTAATTTTGCTCAGTTTAAGAGAGAAAGTAAAAATTACCTACTTTTGTGCTAGAGTGCTAGCACTTAATAGGATTGGTGTTGTCACTGGATAAATGTAACATTCAACAGCAGCATAGGGTGGGCAAAGGGTGACATTTTAAATAGCAACCTTTTCACCGGGCTTATTTTCTAAAGACAATGCAAACACCCTTGCATGTGCATTGATGAAAACAAATGCTTATTTCTCAGGGAAATTAACGTAGGTTATTATTTTTAATGCCTTAGTTTATTTTTAAATGCCTTAAACCCAAGATAAATGTCGTAGAATGAAACATTGAACGGAAAGGTAGAATGACTGGCTGATTGCAGACGAATATTTATTAAAGTGAATGGAAAATTAGAAAATAAGCAAACACTTGGCAATACTAGCAGCATTGGGAAGACTGTTATTCCATTAGCATACCTTGAACCCACCTATTTGCAAATCTAAAGCCTGTTTTTCCCCCGCTATTTTTGCTATGCTAAGGGCTCTGTACTTGGAGTATAGTAAGAAAGAAAACAGCATTTTAGGCTTCCGTGCTTAGGTGCAGTTTACATCTTTGTTCTCTTTGATCCCTATAAAAGAAAGAAAAGCTGTTCAACTGAGAGTAGGAAAAAATTGATTATATGGTTTTCCTGACCATTGTAAAACTAAAGACAAGTATGGCTCTCAAAAATGTAAACTGAGGGCAGTATTGGAGTTCCCTTTAATATTTTTGATAAAATAGATGTTTGACTCAATTGCATTGGCTACTTATAAATTCCTATTTAATATAATTTTATTTTCCTTGGAAAATGAGTAAATTCACTGTGCAAGTATATAGTTACTTTGAACTCAGAATGATACCCTGTTTTTGGAAGTTATCTTAAAAGGTCTAGTCTTTGCTTGAACACTTCTGTGGCTTTTGGGATGCTACTGGGCCACCTGCTCAGAAAATCTAGGTCTAGGATGCTTGTGTTAGACCAAATTTAAACTTGATTTAGGCTAGTACTTAATGCCTTCAGTATGTTCCCACTTTGTTCATCTCATTTACCATTACAACTACCTGCCCTGGAATCTAAAATCTAATTCACCTACCGCCTCCTGACTCTTCCTGTGTTTGTCTCTGCTCTCTGCCATGCTCCATTTCCATTGCTGGAAGGCGGTCTCACAGTTATAGGTCACTTTTCATCTCTTCAAAGCTGACTTAATGTGACTGGTTATTCCTGCCTTTCCTTCAGCGTTTATACTCAGTTCTGCTGTGGTGCTTCTCTGAATCATTTTTACTTGGCTTTTAAGCTCCAGAAGCATAACTTAGGCCTACATGTGTGGGTTTATAGGAAAACTTAATTCTAAAGAGGCAGATGGTATTATAATAGCAATAGAAGTAGAAATGATATTTAGATTTGTCCAGATTTGGTGACTAAAAAGGAGAATTACACCATATTTTTTGTTAATCATTTATCTAGGCCCAAGTTAATAATACCCTTTATTCAAAGCATTTTCAGAGTTAATGTCCACCTCCTAATAACTAGGGACTTGGAGAATTGAAATGTGGAGTAAAAATACACATGGGAACTGTCCTCTGAGCCATGAGCAGAATTTTATTTTTGGAGGAGAGTAGGACTGCCACCTAGATTGGATTCTCAGTAGCAGTTCAATGGACAGACTCCCTCTGAGTATTTTTTTTAAATATATCTTTATTGATTTCAGAGAGAGAGAGAGAGAGAAACATCAATGATGAGAGTCATTGATCGACTGCCTCCTGCACGCCCCCTAGTGGGGATTGAGCCTGGAACTCGGGCCTGTGCCCTAATTGGGAATTGAACTGCCATCTCTGAGATCATAGATCCATGCTTAACTGCTGAGCTACACCTGCTGCGCCCCTCTCTGAGTATTTGACCAGTTTAGACTCCAAAGTTGTACTGCATTTGTGCCCCTCCCTGCCCCAAACCATGGGTAGGAACTTCATATTAGATTTTCTCTCTTGTCAGTTAAAAATGTCCACATTTAAACATGTTTTGTATTTGTTATAGATCAGTCATATCATTTGGGTCAAAAAACAGAACAATTGGAGTTGCAGCCAAAAATCAGGTATGTTCTTTAAGAGAATTCTGGTCAGTTTTTAAGGGGGATGTTTTTAAGGTAAAATCTCAAGGGCATGCAGGAATATGAAATACTTAAACCTGTCTGTTGTTGAGTTTTAAAAATGTAATGTGACTATCTTTATGAGCCCTTAGATGGTTATTTTTTCTTCTGTTCCCTTTTGTTTTATTGAATAACATCTACTTTTTAAAAAATGTCTTTATTGATTTCAGAGAGAGGAAAGGAGAGGGGGAGAAAGAGAGAGAAACATGAATGGTGAGAGTCATTGATCGGCTGCCTCCTGCATGCCCCCTACTGGGGATTGAACCTGCAACCTGGGCTTGTGCCCTGACTGGGAATCAAATCTCCTGAATCATACATAGGTCGATGTTCAACCACTGAGCCATGCGGCCTGGGCAGATAACATCTACTTTTACTGTCTAATTCGCCAGCCTTAATTTTTAGTGACTTCACTGCTTTCTAATTTATATAATTTATGTGAAGCTTCTCGTGACACTTATTTAAGAATTAAAGATTCCTTCTAGAAGTCCTGTGTGTTTAAAAATGTTTTCAGGCCCAGCCAGTGTGGCTCAGTGGTTGAGGGCTCAGTCCCCAGTAGGGGGTGCGCAGGAGGCAACCGATCAGTGACTCTCATCATTGATGTTTTTCTGTTTCTCCCTCTCCCTTCCTCTCTCTGAAATCAGTAAAACACACACACACACACACACACAAATATATATTAAAGTGTTTTCAGGTTACTTAATAATTAAGGTAGGACTGGGAGAACTTTTTGTCTAGACCTCTGCTGTCTTACATGGTAGCCATTAGCTACACATGGCTGCTGAGCATTTGAAATGTGCCTAGTCTGAATTGAAATGTGAAGTAAAAATACACATGAGATTTTGAACACTTAAACTGAAGTAAAGTATCTCGCCAATATTTATATTATATGTTGGGATGATAGTATTTTAGGTGTATTAGGCTAAATAACTATTGAAATTAATTTCACCTGTTACCACTTAATGGGATTGGAAAATGTACATATGTCCTTCCCACTTTGGACCCACCTTATAACTCTTGGAGTTGAGGGAGAAAATAAAGTAAGGAAAATATGAAATATTAACTCCTTTTTGAGTGGCTTTAAGAAAGATACTGAAAAAATTCTTTTAAATACAAAAAATAGTACTGCTAACAAACACTTCTAAACCCTGAATACTATATTATGGTTAGTTGGAAGAGACACAAGACAAAAGAGGTTAAAAACAAAGGAGAGAAGAGAACTAGGTCTGTATACTCAAAATGACACCCTCGAAAGGAGAGAAACAGCTTCTATTGCATTTTTGTGGTTATGTGAGGAGAATCAATGGAGTCTCAGATCTGGCCTGTAGATTGCTAGACATTCTTTATCTCAGTTATAGAATCACAAGGAATTTTAGGTCATAAATACACTTAAATATTGTTTGAAAACATACTGCCAAGCTATATTCTTCCCTTTAAAAGAAATCAGAGAAAAAAGTAATTGGTGAATTATTTTGGTAATTTTGAGCTAGTAACTTTAGAAGTCTTAGTTTTTAATCTTTTATTTTAATTATTTGTGCATTTTAAATAAGGTTCTCTCTGCTGATGTCTTTGAGTGAAATAATGCTGTGAAGTGGGACTTTTTAATCCAGAGTCTAATCATAAAAAATACGTGCATGCAATTGAAAGTGTTAGGTCATTCAGAAAGTTTTGAATTTTCCTTACCTCTTCTGCTTTTTGGTATAGATAATTAGCATTGTATGCTACTGGTAAGTACATTGTATGTATTTTGTGCCAAAATGTTTATTCTGGCCACTTAGTAGTTTATTAGACTATAACAATGAAGTCTACTTAAAAAATGTAATTTGATTGTAGAGCATCTAGATCTCCTTATTCATTCAGTGGATAGAAAACAAGTTTAATGGGGAACAAGAATAAAATAAAGTGATGCACTTCTTGGTGCATCAGAGCTTTAGTGATAGTTTCACCATCTTCAAGTTTATGTTGCAGGTTTTGAAATCTGTTTTAGTGTCTGGTGATGGTACTGCCTCTTCTTTCTCACTGCTTACCTATAGGAAAAAGAGAAAGAATAAAGTTGATTCATTGATGGGGAAATCCAGGGCTCTGGGAAAGTTACTTATATCCCCATGATTTGAGTTCTACAAGGGACTTTTTTGTAAAATTGCTGTAAGTACTAATAAGTGTTGAAATTAGAAAATAACTTAAAATCTCTAATTTCTTGTACAGCAAATCACTCATGCAAACAATACAGTGTCTAACTTCAAGAGGTTTCACGGCCGAGCATTTAATGACCCCTTCATTCAAAAAGAGAAGGAAAACTTAAGTTATGATTTGGTTCCGATGAAAAATGGTGGAGTTGGAATAAAGGTAATATAATTGAGTAACTAAGTTAGAGTCTTAATAGGAAATTAACTTATCTATAGAGAAAGGTACTTAATTCTTAATGAAAATTTAACTCTTATTTCTTAATTGGACAATATGGTCTTTTATTCCTTTTTTCCCACCAAGCTTCTTTTAAACTGTAGGTATATCTTTAAATTGTCTTTGAAAATTATTCAAACAGTATATACTGCCATAACTTAATTTGTGTTTCTTGTAACTTCCTGGCAATTGAAATTTAGTGGTGTTTAAAAACCTAAATTGTGTTGTCATGTCAAACAAAAGTCTGTCCAGTGCAACCCAGTTATGTTGTTTGAAGAGCCATCTTGTAATATAACCAGAAATCTTTTTTTAAACTTGCAGAGGCATTCCTCTCCTATGACCCACACAAAATAATATTTATCCCAGTGATTCAGCTCTTTAGAGTGGAAATTTACTACCTTCTATAATGTTTTGACTAGTACTTTGGGTGGGGAAAATCCACCTTAGGGTTTTTTTTTATCTCTAGAGTGTAAAGTTCTTTCTTCCTTTTTTCTTTGCTTCCCTTTGCATCCCCCTTTCCTTTTCTTCTTCTTCCCTAAACAGCTATAACAATAGAGATTTTCTGGAAGAGACTATGGAATAATATTTGGAAGTTGTTATTAGCAGTTAGCTTTAAGTACCACGGGTTAAAACATTTTCTTTCTTCAACATAGGTAATGTACATGGATGAAGAACATCTGTTTAGTGTGGAACAGATAACAGCCATGCTGTTGACTAAGTTAAAAGAAACTGCTGAAAACAACCTCAAGAAACCAGTAACAGACTGTGTTATTTCAGTAAGTAGAATTCAGCAAGTCAGTGTGTTTTATTTTAATTTGCGTGCTTTATGTTACTCTCAGGTATACAGTATGTGAAAGCAGTTCTGTTACTAGGCATCAAAATTCTACGGACTTTGTTAACATAGGAGTATTTCAGAGGAGGTTTGAGTTGTATTTTTAGCCAGAAGTTGTAAAGGCTTTCGACTGGAAGTGCAAATCAAAGTCTCCTATGAGGCTTTTTGAAAATACAGACTGATTGGTAGAATGGGGGATATTCTCATAGTTACTTCACTGTTAGACAAGTTGTATACATACATGAGAGCTTTTCTGAATTCCACCCCTCAAGTTGAAAACCAGTGCATTAAAATTTTTTAAATTTAACCTACCGGTAGTCACAAAATGTAGATTTTCAGCACTAGTCAATCCACTACTTTCAATGGACAGTTGATAAATTATCAAGGAGTATTTGAACTGGACAAAAGCCCCCCCTTTTTTTTTTTTTTTAATATATCTTTATTTCAGAGAGAGGAAGGGAGAGAGAGATAGAAATATCAAATGATGAGAGAGTCATTGATTGGTTGCCTCCTGCATACCCCACACTGGGGATCAAGCCCTCAAGCCTGTGCTCTGACCGAGAATCGAACTGTGGTCTCCTGGATCATAGGTTGATGCTTAACCGCTGAGCCACACCCAGCTGGGCCAAAAGCCACCTTTTATTTGGACACCAAGAAGGTAGTTTTAAATCTGTTCTCCCAAATGTCTAGGGTAACTTCTTGTTCTGCTCTGCCCCAGAACTGTCTATAAATGGACTTACCTACACCATGGTCTTTGTGTTATAGCGTGGGTAGGGTGGCCTGCCCAGACTGGTTAGAGCCTTTATGGCAGTGTGTCATAGGATATGAAAGAACAGAGAGGGCTAAAATTCCTCCTCTTGCCATTGTAAGACAGAATGGGATCTACCAGAGGGATATCTGCCTGTTGCTTGGAGAAACTACATATTAAAGAATTAAATTATAAATTGGTGGTCCTCCCTTCCTTTTTAATTTTTCTTTAACTTGATGGGGAAAAAAACTGATGAAAGCAGTATTCTGATTTAAAAGGTGAGCAGAGACCCACGTTGGCTCTTGCCTTTGTCTCTTTCTGAAGCAACTACGAATACTTTAGGGGAAAAATGTGAAATCCACCACGTCTCCCCCTAGGTGCTTTCTGGTTAAGTGCTCCTATGAATGTATTGTTAGATGCTCCTTCTTAAAGAGCATCCCAGTTAAAATGCCGTCCTAGAAAGTTCTCAAAGTAATCTAACTAGAAGCACCAGTCACTCAACACCATAAAAAACTCCATCTCTTGAGCTATTTGCTCTTCTTCCTCTTAGGAAAATCAACAGCTGCACCCCTCCCCCCAGGTGTTCTTGTAATCTTAACAGGTTTACTGAATTAGAAGGTGTGCCATATTAATGCTTGAACTCAACGAATAACAAAACTGAAAGGCAGTGGCATATGCTAGAATTAGTTCTGTGTTATCTTTAAGCTTCTGTAGTCTTTACTTATAATTAATTATATTTAACACTAAATGTTGACTTAGCATTATCATTTACAAATGTCAGTAAAAATTTAAGACATTTGGAAATGGTATTTCATCCACTGAAATTTAAAGTGCTCTGTTAGATTTACATGACTCAGTATGTCTATGAATACTAATTAATTTTTATTTTGAGTTAAAATTTGGTTGTAATAAAGAATACTTTGATAATATAAGTTGAGGGCAATCTTTTCAAAAGTAAGTTACTATTCTGAATGTTAAATAACTTTCTAGAAACTTAGCCTAAAGTTCTGTCTTCTGTCTTGGCTAGGCACCTATTTAGCTGGACTGTTCCAAATTTATTAAAAGTGATTATAAGGAATTTGTATATATTTTTGTGTTCTAAATATGTTAAAATTCTTTTCTTCCTTGTTTGTAGGTCCCCTCTTTCTTCACAGATGCTGAGAGGCGATCAGTATTAGATGCTGCGCAAATTGTTGGTCTAAATTGCTTAAGACTCATGAATGACATGACAGCTGGTAAGCAAAAACTTTTTGTGTGGAGTGACTATTATACTATCAAACGCAGAGTTAAGACATATCAGGAACAATTACTAAAAACTTTTTCACGTTGATGTAGAAATACAGTTTATTAAGAAACCATGTTAGGTTTGAAAGCACAAATTCCAGCTTTTCAGATTTTTACATTTAATGAGAAATTGGCACTCTGTCAGATTTATGAACCTCTTTCATTAGAAAATTCCTTTACATATCTATACAGGGTGGAGCATTAGTAAGTTTATAGTTGTGAGTATAGAAAACACAGAGTTTGTTCTTGTATTATTATTTATTTATTTATTTTAATCCTCACCCAAGGATCTTTTTTCCATTGCTTTTCAGAGAGAGTGGGAAGGGGGGGAGAGAGATTGGTTGCCTCCCACACTCACCCGGACCAGGGCTGGGATCAAGCCTGCAACTGAGGTGCGTGCTCTTCGTCAGAATTGAACTCGGGACCCTTCAGTCCAAGGTCCGATGCTCTAACCACTGAGCAAAAATGGCTAGGGCTATTTATTAATTATTGTATTATTTTTCATACAAACAATGGTAACCTACTTTTGCTCCACCCTGTATATATTTTCTTTGAATTAGGTGTGTTGGATTTAGTGTTTAAATTTTCTTACATTGTTTTTATAGTTAGAAACAAATTTTCCCAAAATCTTATGATTCCAGATTTTACAACTACCTTGACTACAATTACTGATGTAGTTAAAAAGTTTTTCCTCCTATATTTCCTGAATATATGTAATTACGCATTAATCATTCATCTCTGTCAAATACTAAGCTATACCGTTTGCTAAGCATCGGGTTAGGTGTGGATATAATGTTGAGCAAAGCAGTCACTGTTACCTCCTCCTAGAGCTTTTATCAGTTTACTATGATTGCAGATTAACAAAATATAGTTACAGGTTAGTGTCAGGCAAAACAAGACTTTTTTCAGCATGTTTCTAATAGTTTTTTAAGTCTTAATTAAAGTTTCAATAAAGATATGTTCTCAGGTATACATGTTTAGGAAAACAGTAGTTTCAAAGTTGAGAAAAAGCTAACAGACTCTTTAAGGGTGATCAGTTATTTGCCTTGGATCTAAAAATAATTGGTAGCAACTGGAGTTACTGTAGTTGTGTATTTTTAATTTTTCTGGATGAGCAGTCTCCTGGCAGGTCATGGTTCAAATGTGAGTATTGTGAAATTAGTCTGATAACTATTGTGGTTACATGTCATTGTATGTCTTCTCCATCATTTCTCTTCATATATTGAAAAGTGATACATCATTGTTCTAAAATCAGAAAAGGGTAATCAATGCCAAGAAAACTAGTACAAAGTCAGGTATAAAAGCAGTGTGTTCAGCTTTAAATGTTTGAAATGTAGTCAAGTTTCCTGCATGTGTAATTACATTTACAACAATGAATTTCCAAAGAAAATGTAAAGGAAAGAATTGAAACTCACTTATTATTTTGTAGTTGCTTTGAATTATGGAATTTATAAGCCCGATCTCCCAGGCCTGGATGAGAAACCTCGGATAGTGGTTTTTGTTGATATGGGACACTCAGCTTTTCAGGTGTCTGCCTGTGCCTTTAACAAGGGAAAATTGAAGGTAAAGTCAAAAATTTAAATTAAGTGACCAAAACCTATTAAGTGTGTTATATTTGTCATTACTTTAAGCTGCTGGGCTTCTTGACTATGGTCTTCTTGGTAATGAAGTGTTGGGTAATGGTATGAATGAGGAATTGTTCCCAAGGTTGATCTTTATAACGATGATGTCTCGGCATACTCTTAATATTCTTGCTTAGACAAGAAAAGCTTTTTCAGATTATCTTCTGTGTAATCATTAAAAGTCAAAACTATCTTAGAGATAGAGTACTTCATTTGAATTTTATAGTTACATTTCTCCTAACTGACTTGGACTTCATGTTGTAACTTAGATAGAAGTATTGAACCTATTAGTCTTCAATTGTTTGATCAGGAATGCTTAAGATTATAGTAAAAAATATGATTGAAAATAACCAGATTATTTATTGTTTTAACTAAATTAGGTACTGGGAACAGCTTTTGATCCTTTCTTAGGAGGAAAAAACTTTGATGAAAAGTTAGTAGAACATTTTTGTGCAGAATTTAAAACTAAGTACAAGTTGGATGCAAAATCCAAAATTCGATCCCTTCTTCGTCTGTATCAAGAGTGTGAGAAGTTGAAAAAGCTAATGAGCTCCAACAGCACAGACCTGCCACTGAGCATTGAGTGCTTCATGAATGACCAGGACGTGTTGGGAAAGATGAACAGGTGTGTTCTGAATTCTGCCAGAGTAAATAGGAAGAGGCCCTGGCTGGACTAGAGCTCAGGGGTCTGTTCTGGCTGTGGTGCTGTGCATCTTGGCCCACAGTTGTGTGCTACCTGCTGGACAGACTGTGAGCATCCTTAGAGGTAGGGGCACTTCTGCAAAGAGGGTATTTAGAAAGAGCTTTGCCAAGCACCTCGTGATGAAAGTCTTTTAGGGGCTTTCCACTTTTTAGTACTTCTGGGCCAGTAATTGAATAGTGGTTTCACCAAATACTTCACAGAAAGATTTTGAAGTCAATGGAAATACATGTTAAGAGAATTGAGAAATGGGTCACATGAAACATTTAGGAGTAAAATGTCAGTCTTAATGTAAAAGTAGTTCTTCCAGTGATACCCAGTAGAACTGATTTTTCTCCTCCATCCCCTTTCTGCACCTGTTTTGTATGTTTATTTTTTTAAAAGTTACAAATTACAACAATACAGTTAAACTTGGCCCATGTGCAGTCCAGGGTATATGACTTAAAAAAAAATGAAATTCATTGGGTTGATAAGATTTATTATTTAATAGCAAGATACTGGCTTTTAGGTGATTTTTCAAAGATTTATAAAGTGTTTCTCTTACTCACCAAGGGCACAATTTGAAGAACTCTGTGCTGAACTCCTGCAAAAGATAGAAATTCCCCTTTATTCACTGATGGAACAGACTCAGCTCAAAGTAGAAGATGTGAGTGCTGTTGAGATAGTTGGAGGCACTACACGAATTCCAGCTGTGAAAGAAAAAATTGCCAAATTCTTTGGAAAAGATGTTAGCACAACACTCAATGCAGATGAAGCAGTTGCCAGAGGCTGTGCACTGCAGGTATGCTTCCTAAGCCCTGCTCTGGGCTCATCCCATAGCCTCTTCCACATCATTGCATTGTGGTGTGCCTAATTAGATATCACACAGGAGTTACTTTTAAATAAGTCCGGAAGGCTGTATAGTGAGAAGATACAGGATATTTAAAGGAACTACGGAGCTAGTGTTTCTCAAACTGGAGATGAGGAACTGNGGATATTTAAAGGAACTACGGAGCTAGTGTTTCTCAAACTGGAGATGAGGCCTCTTAGTGCATCATTCTAGGATGTCACAGAAAATGGCTGTTATGCGGAAATTAGCTGCAGTGGGGAGGGGGTCACAGTTGTCACAAAGCATATAGGAGGGAATTCAAATGGCAATCTGGTGTAATGCAGAATTGATGGGGAGAAATTTCAGGGTTAAGGGTATTTGTTAACTGGTTTTAGGAAAGAGCTTCTCCCCCTCCAAATTGCTTTTAACCTACTTATCAAGTAAGAAGGCACTAAGAGGCCTCTGACAAAGCAAAAGCACCAAATCTAGAAGTTATTGATTTAAAAAAAATTAATACTGGTTTATATTTAGGACATTGTAGTCAAATAGTTTTAACTAAAGTTTCAAGTTAATATGCTTGAGTTTTGACGTGGTTAGCACAGTTTTTTTAGTATAAAGCGAGATTCTGTGGACAAGGGTATTTAGACCGACTACTTCTTAGAATTTAAAAAAGGTAAGAACATGTAGCTACTTATTACTGATTATCTATTGTATCATCATATCACCCATTATGGAGTTTTTGCTTTTTCCTTAATAATGGATTATGCCTCCTTAGCTAACTCTAATTCCCAGAAACCTGGGAAGTTTTTATAGTTGACATACTATCAGCGGTTTTTTTGTTTTTTTTAAAATATGTCTTTATTGATTTCAGAGAGAGGAAATGAGAGGGAGAGAGAGAGAGAGATAGAAACATCAATGATGAGAGAGTCATTAATCGGCTGCCTCCTAAATGCCCCTGAGTGGGGATCAAGCCCGCAACCCGGGAATGTGCCCTGACTGGGAATTGAACCCTGATCACCTGGATCCTAGGTCGATGCTCAACCACTGAGCCATGCCCAGCTGGGCAGCAGTTTTGAATTTGAAGTTAAGCTTACCCATCCCATTTGAATTGAGTTTTATATTAAAAGGTGAGTGGAATTATTCATGTGCTCATAATAATTCTTCCTTTCTGTCTTTCTTTTTTTGAAGAGTGCAATTTTGTCTCCAGCATTTAAAGTTAGAGAGTTTTCTGTCATAGATGCAGTTCCTTTTCCAATATCTCTGGTCTGGAGCCACGATTCAGAAGACACTGAAGGGTATGTATCAGAAAATAACTTTCAGATAGTGTATTTTAATATAAAAGTGACATTTAATGGTAGTGTGTCTGATTAACTGGGATTTTTCAACAACCAAACCTATCAAAGTATTTCTGTCATTTTGGTGTTGTAAATGGTGAGATAGACTTGATACAGATTTTGGAATGTACCTGTTCTGTCTGTGTAGCACAATACGCTTAAGTACTTGACACATTGACTGCCTTTCCTTCCTCTAGTGTTCATGAAGTGTTCGGTCGAAACCATGCTGCTCCCTTCTCCAAAGTCCTCACCTTCTTGAGAAGCGGGCCTTTTGAACTGGAAGCTTTCTATTCTGATCCTCAAGGAGTTCCATATCCAGAAGCAAAAATAGGTAAAGCAATTAACTGTGTGTATTTACTCTTTAAAGACGTAACTTAGTGTACAATCTTGAAACTTTTTCCTAGCAATGTTGAGTGGAACATAATTCCAAGTGAAGGCATTTTTGATTTAGGATGATGGTGTTGGAGAAATTTCCTTGTTTTATTGATGAATAAACTGGCCTACAGAGGTGAAACGTCTTGCTAGTTAGTGCTGCTGATACTTCTAAGGATCTATATTTAGGAACACTTATGTGTTTTTCCTATTCTGATATCATCTATATTTAAGGTATTACCACCTACTTTTAACATTAATCTTTCCTCTAGGTGAAACATGACTTGCAGAGTGTTACTTCTAATTTAACACCTTAGCAACCATTGAGCTACTTCTCAAATGTACTTTCGTGTTTTATTTTATTTTTTAAAAAAATATATTTTTATTGATTTCAGAGAGAGGAAAGGAGAGAGAGAGAGAAACATCAATGATGAGAGAGTTGTCATTGATCTGCTGCCTCCTGCATGCCCCTGACTGGGGATCAAGCCTGCAACCCTGGCATGTGCCCTGACCACGAATCAAACCCCGATTGCCTGGATCCTACGTCAACGCTCAACTGCTGAGCCACGCCCCGCCGGGCTACTTTCGTATTTTAAAAAGTACTTTTTTTGGTACATTTTTCTTTGAGAGGCTTGACCTTCTCCATCTGTTTTGATCCACAGTAACTCTAGAAATCTGTGGGAGAGTCTCAGACATCTTCCTAAGTGGCCGTATCTCTTTCCCAGGCTGTGGGTAGAATTTGCCAATATTGCCAGATCTTTTCAGGACTCACCCTTACCCACCGCTTTTCATAACAAAATTGTGGAAGGAGTCTAGTCTGGCCTGGCCAGTTGTGTATTTTACTCCTTAAAATTTAAAATGTTCTGACACAGGAGTTGTTTTTGTTTTTTTAACAGTTTTTACAAATTTATTGGGAAGAAGTTAGTTTGAGGAAGTGTTGAATATAGACTAAAATTTTGACAGGCCAGATTCTATGCATAACTTTCTGTTGTGCTGAGGATAAAATCCAAGCACTTTAGCATGGCACCAAATTTTTTATATTATCACCCAAGCTGAAAAAGCTTGCGCATATTTAAAGAAATCCCTCCCTCCGTTGCCGCC